GATTATCCATTGCTTACATTCCTTACTCATGTAGTACACAGGCAAGTGTTAAAGGTCACCATAGTCAAATTCTGTATCATCTGGGTTCCCCCCAGCACCATTGTTGACATCCAAACCAGTCTGTGTGATGTCATCACTCTCGTCCTAGACAACTTGTTCAAGATTGCCATATCCATACTCTTCCATCTTGTCAGCTAGATCACTGCAAATGGATCCCTCATCAGATGAGAAATGCATGCTTCTGCTCATGTCAGAATCACCTTCACCCTCTTCATCCATGATGATATTTTGCTCATCTACATCATCACCATCAGAATCTGAGTCTTCATTACCATGCATGAATGCATGCTCCCATTCCAGAGTTACCAGTGCATTGTCCAGCTTGTCCCAGTCATCAAGGAGGCAGCAAGTTACCTCACATGTCATTTTGTGCCCCACACCACCACCATGGAACTGCATGAACATGTCTCAGTCAACAACCTTCAAGGATTGTGGTGTTAGAGAGCTTGCAAGAAATCAGAATAAATGGAAATCTTACATGTTGATGTAGTACCAGTCCCAATCTTCATCCTTTTCTATTTCTTGGTGAGCAATCAAGGTGCCCAAAAGACTTGATGTATGCCCAAAATGAAATGCTGGAATGATATGTATGGCATGAACAACATCATTCAGGTCAACAAATCCAAATGCATTGTCAAGATTGTCTTCAGGATAGAACCTGACACATGGCAGATGACAAGAGGCCCAGCCTGACTTGAAATGCCAATCACAAGCAAACCATTGCACCCACAGCAAGTCAATGCATTTGAGTGAACAATCGTTGAGCTCAGGTCCATTATACTGGATCTCAACATGGAAGATACCAATTATACATGCATACCAATAGGGGTGGGGGTTATCTTCATCCTCATGCAAAAGGACCATAATGTCAGGGTGGGTGTGGGGGTTGACTGAATCCTGCATACAGTGAAGGTCATATGTTGTATAATTCACATGTAGTAACTTGTGTTTGTAGAGATGGTTTTTGATGATGATCAGGTGATTTCATTGAGCAACTGTAAATTCTTTGCCCTCACCATTGTCTGATATATTGCCTAGCAGGTGGCCCAGGATGTGGTTCATCATTGAATTTTGTTGTTGCCCACTTTGAATAGGATCCATATCAAGTGGGTTAAAGTCACTTTCCATGCTCCAAGCTCAAATTCATGCATGAAGTCAGGCACAAACATGTGGTAGAAGTTGAACATGAACTGTGATAAACTTTCAGAGAATGCATTCTAGCAGTGTGTCAGCAAGTATGACAAATGAGGTAAAATTTGTACATGCCCATGTAGGAACTAGGGACAGCACACCAAGAATGTTCTCAACAACAGCCACAATGATGCTACAACCAGCTTCAAATATAGCTTTGTGTGCATGTTCAATAGACAACTGCTGGGGCTCATTATCCACTCGCTCCTTTTTTCTGCAGACCTGATGATCTCTCTTTGACCCAAGTTTTGAAATATTTTCCTTCCCAACAAGACAGCAGGGACACAGGTATTTCCCCAAATACTTCATAGAAGCAAGTAGAATTCTGTAAACATGTTATTGGTAGTGGCACATGTAGGTGATGAGTACACATACTTTTTGGGATAATCAGCTGCATATGTCAAAAGCTGTGGAAAGACCCTGCATACTAATCCATCAGGAAACTTGATTATCATACCATGTTCATACACATGGAGGAATTTGTCATCAATAAGGAATGCCCATATGGCCTGCATCAGCTCACACTTACAATGGGTGAGCATGGGAGCAGTAGCACTGGTACCATAGACCTTGTGATAGAAATCTTGAATCTTGTCAGACAACTGCAGGATCAGGTGTCAGGCACATTACATCATTTATATATTTGTACTCATCACCTTTGGAATATAGGCAAGATGATGGGCAGCAAAGGAGTTTGGTTTGGCACAAACATATTTTGATGGGTTTCCCAGGTAAAGATAGATTGGCCAGAGCGCTGCATGCCCAAAATTTGCAAGGTGGGTCGAGTCTGACCAAAGCATAATTGCAGCAACTACAGTTTTGAGGCTACAATCTCAGGGCTGTGCCTTAATTGTTTTGTGTTCTTGGAGCATGATGTCAGCCATGTAGACCTCACCAAAGACTTGTTCTGGGATGGTGTCATCATCTGCTTGCCAAAATAACTTGTAAGGGGTCACATTATATTCTTCAGCAGCTGTCTCTGCAAAGGCAGCCTTGATTACATCAGTGAGCTTGTGATAGTGGAGCTCTTCGACCTTGAATTTGGGGGCATTTTCTTTGTGCACTTTAACTCCCTCACAGGGCAGCCAGATTGTAACACTAGTTGTGTACCATGAGTTGGATGAAATGAGTGTTGATTCATCCATTTGTCTTAGTTCTTGTTGAGCAACAAAACTGTGCAGGTCTTTGCAATCAAAGTCTGCTGCCAGGATAACATTGTGCACCAGATTATTAAGATCAGATTGGGATTTCTGTGTGGACCCATTATAGAACCAGGACATGAGGTGCCAAACTGTCACATTCAGGAATGGTATGAAATAATTCTTCCGAAGCTGCTTAAGTGAGTGGCTGAACCAAGCATTCCAGGGTTCTCCATCCTTGCCTGAGTCCTGTGTTGCACAGCCATCACAGAGCTGTTCAATATGTGCCCCACTTTCTGGGTCATACATCAGGAACCCACTTGTGTACTCCTGGAACAATCCATAGTTATTCTGTGCAGTACGATATAAAGGTGAGTCTGACTGCAGTGAGTTACCATCTGACCCAGTCTCCATATGATTATCAGGATTGTAGTATTTGTTGCCTGGGGCCTCAAGCACATTTTGCTCATCTGGGACTTGGATGACAGGCATGGGCACAGGCCCAGCAGGTAATTCATCTTGGTAATGCATGGGTAGTCACTGAGCATGCTTTGGGAGACCTGAAAGTTGATGTTTGACATCTTCACCTAGATCTGGCCCATCAAACTGCTGTGAAGGTGAATACTTTTTTTTTTCTGCTGCAGAATGTAGTCTCACCCCCAAACAAGTGAAGTCTGCCAGCTGTTTGGCATGCAGTGGATCTCATTCCTGTTCCTCTCACTCTCAGGCTTCAGCCTCTTCTCTTTGCAGGCATTGTAGCCTGCTCACTTTGGCCTCATGTCTGCAAACAGATGCAGGATACTCCTGTAATAATTTTTCATTTGCAGTTTTTTTGTTGGGACACCATTTTTTTGCATGTACAGATAGTCCACATTCCCCCTGGACCACTTTTCCACAGGAGAAACACTTGATATCTGCTGTGGACATTAGTAGTAACTTTGTTTTTTTCATCTGCAAGGCCTGCCACTAACTTTTTAGGATGTTTTTGATCAGATTCATCTGAGTCAAAAGTGTGTCTTGATGTGTCCTGCCTCTTCCATCTCTTTCCACCCCCTTCCACTATTACTGACATGTCCACCATATCAGACATGTTCTCATTCAACAACATTGATCCCACCCTCCTTGTACCATCTGAGCATGAACCTCCAGTGCCAAAGCAGAAGGCTGAAGTACTAGTGCCAAAGCATAATGTGGGCGACATTTGTCTGTATGCTGGATGTGATCTTGCTGGCCAGAAGCTAGCATGTCTTTTTAACCCACATGTGTCACCTTGCACTGCACTTGAAGTCAGGATCACTGAGTCCCACAGTCAAGAGCAGGATATTGACATGTTACTAGCCCTGCCCTTCATTAACCAGCATCACTGATTTTTGTTGACATGTAGGGACCTTGAAGAATTTTCATGCTATGTTGCTGCCTACGAAGCAATTCTTGTACATCTCCCCTGGCTGGAAGATGCACTGAGGGCCTGTTCCCTGGACAGCAATGATTTCACAAAGATTGCTGATAAGGTAAATCACAAGTGTGCATATATGCAATAAAATGGTAACATTCATGTCTAGATAACAATGGGAATGAGCAAACAATGATCAAAGGATCTCTCCACTGTAAAACACACAGGCTTAGCATATGTCCCATTCAACATGGATGGGAAGTTCATCTTTGACCCTCTGATACCAAAAACTGAAGATAAATCCAACTGAGGGTTCAATCACCCACAACTTGCATGCCTTCTGTGCCCACACATGATCTAAAAAACTACAGGGGAATCAGCCTCATAGTGGTGGCAATGAAAATCATCACCTCCATGATGGCAATGAGACTGTCAAAAGTGGCAGAGGATAATGATATACTGGTACTGGAGCAGGGTGGATTCAGAAGCCATGAGGAAGTGATCACGCAGTTCATAACCCGTGCAGAAATAGTGAGGAGACACTGATTGAAGGACAAGAAAACCTTTGTGATTTTCATCAACCTCCTAAAGGCATTCAACAAAGTGATGCATGAAGCACTACTGGAAAAACTGGATGCCATGGGAGTGCAAGGACACTTCCTCGACCTGCTCAGGTCCATATATCACACCTCCAAAGCCTGCATCCATGTGGGGGACAAAAACACCCCATACTTCGACCTCATAAGGGGCACCTGACAGGGCTGTCCCCTCTCCCCAGTGCTCTTCATCCTGTTCATAAACAACCTCATTGATTACCTGCCAGCAGGAATAGAAATACCTGGGATCAGGGATAGGAAAAAATGTCCTGGCCTACTCTTCACCATTGATATAGCTGGATTGGCAGAAACAGAAGAGGAAGCCCAGGAATTCTTGAACAGGATAGTGTGCTGGAGTGAAGACTGGCACATGCCAGTTGGAGCCCCAAAATGTGGAGTTCTGATGATAAATGGAACAGAGGAAGAACAACAACAGTTTGCATTAAGAACATTCCAGGTCAGATGGGAGCAGGTCCCAGTAGTATGGGCCTACAAATACCTTGGTATATGGGTCACTGACTGATTGGGAGACTCAGAACACATGGATGAGACCAATCACTGCAAGACCCTGGTGAAAAAAGTAAAAACTGCTACTGATATGAGGCAGGCCTTCCTAAGGGACCCAAAATTCCCACTGGAACTAAAGCTAGCAGTGATCTGCTCCAAGATCCTGTCCTTGGGTCTATATGGAGGAGAATGGGTTGGGATGTGCCAATGCAGGATGAACATAATACAGAAAGAAGTCAACATGGCATTGAAGCTAGCCTTAGGGTCCACCTCCAACAGCACCATGCATGCATACTGGGTCATGGCCTGGGAGCTTGGAGTGCCCACAGTAGAGGAATGCATGGCAGACCTCAGAGTGAGATTGTGGCAGAAAGCCCCCCAGATGAAAACATGGATCTCTACTCTGGTCAGTGAAGAAAACAAACTGGTAGACAGAGCCCACCCCTGGTCCAGCCAAACTGCACACATGATCAGATGTGCACTCTGCAAGGTGAACAAAGGAGAGGAACATCAGCACTGCTGGATCTACAAAACCCTGATGAGGGAAGGAAAAATCAACACCCTCTGACTCACTGAGGAAGACAACCTGGAAAGAGAAAAGACCAGAGTCAGGCACCTGGTCATCCTCCACATCATTAGACACAGCTTCAATTGCTCAAGGGCAAACAGAAACAAGGCAACCAAGATCTACAAGGCCTGTACCTTTGGGGCCTCCAGAAGGTACATCCAAGCAGCTGCACACATGCCCCATCTGAATGATGGCATAATCTGGTTGGCAAGAATCCACATGTCCTCATGGTGGACAGCCCAGAGAAGATGAGACTTCCTGAAGAACACAGGTCAAGACCATGCCCACATTCCTGATGAGGAATGCATGTTCTGTGGCCAGGAAACTGCAGCTGAGATCAACCACATCCTGTTACATTACCCAGAGTGGAACCAAGAAAGGAAAAAGTGGCTACAACCTCTCCTCAATGCCATCGAGGACCTGGTCAGGACAGGTCATGGACAAGCAGCCCCTGAGGTTCAAGAAAAATATGTTGGATTGGACGATGCTGAAATTGTGGCCCTATTACTCAGTGGAAGCTACCACAGCTTCCAATGGGAGGACACCATTGGCACAGAAGGTTTCATCAGACAACGAACCAACAGAACTTACTACTTTCAAGAACCAGCACCTGCCATCTGTCTCTTTGAAAGGGGATGGGGCAGGAGGCTGGAGTGCTTCTTACATGGGCATTCCACCCATGTATATGTACTGGTGGCAAAATTCCTGGCAGAAGTGATGCCAAAGCACAAGGAAAAGCTATTTTATGGAGAAAGCACCAACCAGAGCCCTACCAGATACCCCAGGCTATCAAAAGAGGAAATGCTAGCAAACCAGGGTACCAGATGGGGTGGACAAAGGAGATATGACAGGGACCTTGAAGATGGAGGAGAGTTTACCCTACATATTGATCCGGAGTCCAGAATTACACTGTGGCATATGCCATTTTATCAAACCGATGCCCCCCACAGGGGTAGGGTACGAAATTGTAATGATGCCTTGTATTTCTCAGATGCCTCATTGGACATGACTGTCTACAGACAGTTGTGACTAATGGAAACAGCACTGAGCCTGGAGGAGCAATAGCCAATGAAAAGAAAGGCTAGCCAGGTGAGGATAAGTCCACAGGTCTTTTAGGCAGCACCTGAAATGGGAATCTGGGTGGAATCTGTCAGAGCTCAGATGCACAAAATGAAAGGAAGTGTATCCACACTGAGCCTTTGCAAAGGGGCTGAAAGAGCCCCAGGTCAAATCCAGCCTGCAGGAGGAGGGCATTCCTGGAAGGAATGGATTAACAAGATTCCCACTGTCCCTATCAACTATCTAGCAAAACCACAGCCAAGGGAACAGGCTTGGCAGAATCAGTGGGGAAAGAAGACCCTGTTGAGCTTGACTCTAGTTTGACATTGTGAAAAGACATAGAGGGTGTAGAATAAGTGGGAGCTTTGGCACCACTGAAATACCACTACCTTTATCATCTTTTTACTTATTTGATGATGTGGAGCTGGGGTTAACAGCCCCAACTTTTGGTGTTAAGGTCCTTCAGGGCCGATCTGGGTTGAAGACATTGTCAGGTGGGGAGTTTGGCTGGGGTGGCACATCTGTTAAAAGATAATGCAGGTGTCCTAAGGGGGACTCATCGAGAGCAGAAATCTCAAGTAGAAAAAAAGGGTAAAAGTCCCCTTGATTTCGATTTTCAGTGTGAATAAGAAACGTGAAAGCATGGCCTATCAATCCTTTAGTCCCTCCAAGTTTGAGGCTAGAGGTGCCAGAAAAGTTACCACAGGGATAACTGGCTTGTGGCAGCCAAGCATTCATAGCAACGTTGCTTTTTGATCCTTTGATGTCAGCTCTTCCTATCATACCAAAGCAGAATTCAGTAAGTGTTGGATTGTTCACCCACTAATAGGGAATGTGAGCTGGGTTTAGACTGTCATGAGAATCACTCCAAAACCATTGTCTCCATGTACACCTCAGGATAGGTCACCTGTGTCTATCCTCTTCAAGCCATATAAATATAGTATCCACAAATCCCAAGGTCAATCCACAAGTCCCAAGGTCACATGACCTTTGTTTAGGGCCAGTCATATGTAGTGGTACCTCATGCGGTTTTGCCCAAGTCTACGACTGGGCAGGTGTGGTTTGTTCTTCTTTTCTGCAACAGCTAATTTCACATATACATTGATTTTGCAATCCAACTACATAGTATTCTACATGTCTAGTTATGATATCATTCTATCAGAAAGGTTTTTGTACCAAACGTGCATATGAAATTGGAAATGCGCACTTCCAAATGGGGGACCAGTATACAATGGGTCCCAGTGATATGGATTGTCTGGTTCCACCTCCATTTGTGCATTTGGAACCTCTTTCTCTTCAATTTCAGCTTCCTTAGGATTATCAAGTGCATCTGCAAATAGACCTAAATCAAGACCCTCGTCTTCTCCTGGTCCTGCACTGCCACGAATATGCTTGGTGGGTGCTTTCCCTTTCCCTTTGCCTTTGCCTTTTGGTGTCAACTGAAGGAATTTTGTCATCATCTTCACCTTTAGCATCACTGCCACTGGCATTGCTACCACTAGGCATTAAACCTCGGCATAGCTTAAAGCCTCTTGCACTAGTATCTATTACTGTAGGGTTGGCAGACCACTTAGGTGCCAAAGATGCAGATGCACCAGATGTTCCTGCTCTATACATATCAGGAATAGCATTGTAAAACGAAGGCAAAGACCCTTCTGTGACAGGTGTTTTGTCCTTCAGCAGAGCAAACACATGTGTCATGGTGGGTCACTGTCTTGCATCAAACTTCCACCATGATTCCTGATAGTCCATAATTTCATCTCCATCATAATTGGGTAAATTGGCTGTGCCTTCTGGCATGCCTTCCCAATTACCCTCATATTCTCTTCTAATTCCATGTCGGAAATGACTTGCTGACTGATGAACAATAGAGTCCTGCCAATCAGCTAGCTCTGGCATTGTCATTTGATTGCCAGCAAAAATTACTTGTCCAGATGGAGTGACCACTCCAGTTGGAGGCAGATCGTCCAGTTTCCTCGCCCTACATGCAGCAGCACATAATCCCATAGGCCATTCCTCGATACCAGCCATGGCTTCCTCAGGAAGATTCAGTTCAGCCATACATGGACACAGCACCAATGCATGTGCCAGTATCATCACGTAAAGCTTCATTGTCAGTTGCAATTTGCCTAACTCAACATCCCCAAATGCATGTTTACCTGGAGCACCAAATTTGGATTCATAAAGGTACTTGTGACACATGCGCTTAAGAATATTAAATGAAAGAGTCTTGGCACAGGACCCACAATTACAGAATATGTGGGTAACATCCAAGAGTACTCTGACAGGTTTGCCAGAGTTTTCATATGGAATGACCTTCATTATCTCATCCTGACAAGTGTGATTCAAATGTGCATGTCATGAAACCCAAGATGAGAATGGAAGATACACCATTTCCATACCACCAGTGCCTTCAACTGCTGGATATGTAGATTGACCAATACCAACAGGGATATAGCTATCCTCGTTATACAACCAATCATTGACAACATGTGCATTGTCTGGCTTCTCTGAAGAATGGAAGAACAAGAAGTGAACTTTCCATTCAGATTGACCACTCAAAGACCACAATCCACAGAAGCACAAACCTGTCATCATGATCTGATTGCTTCTACGAAGGAAGCAAGTATCGGGCTTGTTAGAATATGGAATAGTGTTGCCTTGAGCACACCAAAACTGTATGTAATTTTCCCATGGAGTGTCTTCAAACCTTCTGCAAGTATCAAACATTATTGGTGTGCCCTTGCCAAGTTGTCCTGGGTTGGACTCATGGGGGAGACCACTTGCCAAGCAGATCTCTGTAAGCCTCCCATTTCAGAAGGTGCCCTTGGTATAGGTCTTCCTCTGCTGGGTAAGTATTTGCTTATGATGCATTTGCAACTGAGCATAAACCCTCTTCCAGTAGGTTGTACACTTGTACTGTCTTCGTGTCGTATTTCCTCTCCATCAACTAAAATGTGACCATCTTGAAGAAAGCTTATGGAACTTCCTTGTCCTACTAGTACGTGTCCATCTCCATATGTAACACAAATGAGCCATTCCTTTTGGAGATTGATTCCAGGTAATGAAGGTACAAGATAAAGGGTCATCACATCAAATTTAATTCATGTGATGCTATTTATACTCATGCCTCACATGCCAACAGAAACAAATACTAATATATTTGTTCTAGGACTAGCCTAGAACTGGCAGTGGGCCATAGGAGACTCGTAGTCCTCCCATGTGACCATGTCCCCCACCTCCACCATCTGCAAATGTGCCAGATAGGTGGAGGCATGCAGGTAGCTATGGACAAATTGATGGTATGTATCCTGATCTACATACTGTCCCATCCTACCCATCTATGGGAACCGACCACTTTCCTCCAGCCACCCTCCTGAACCCCAACAAGGATGGGCCAACACTGCCACCACTTTGCCAAGCACTTTCAGGAGCACTTGGGGCTGTGTATCTCCATCTACTCTGGGTTTGACGACTGCGGGACAGAACGACTTGGTGGCCAGGTGATATGCTGACCGCTGGACATAGGCCTCGAGCAGGTCACACAGCTCGATGTGCCATGGGTCGAGGCCGTCTGACTCCAAAGTCCCAGATGACAAGGGGGGAGGGGGGGAGACTTGAATCTCAATGCCAGTGGCTCCAGGCTCTCCTGTTTGATCTGCTTCGACAGCGACAGTGGGGGGGGGGGGGGGGTTCATCTTGGGGAGGGGGGGAGGGAGTTGAATGGAGAAAGATTTCTGCATACTCCCACTTCAGTAACCTCTGGGCTGGGAATATGCCAGGCATCCAAAGCAGGGGAGGGCAATCCAAGAGTGGAGAGATCCACCCACCAACTGGAGGATGATGAGGAGCAGGGGTTTGGGGGACTACTTGGGGTTGGGGGAACCCAATTGTGTGCCATATCTGCGCACGAAGGTTCTCCTGCCTTTTTGCCAGCCTCACTGCCATGAACCTCATCAACCCCAAGCTGGGGATAACTGCAGCCCTGGGGGACAATGCTGTATATGTCCCATTCCTAATGAACAAGTCAGTGGGATAGGGGCACCAATCTCACTAACTTGCTCACCTGAACTTGACCCACACTTGCAGGTCCCATAGCTGTTGGCACATCACTGCCATGATTTCCACAGCATGCAGTTTCCTCTCCAACAAACTAAAGAACTTAAATGAATATCAGAAAAAGCAACAAAGAAAACATCAACTACTTACCTTGTTGTTGCATGGCTCCTCATGCTGCCAAACATGCCCTATCCCAACAGGGCTCACCTCCTCCAGGGTGTTGTCATAAGCACCAATGACAGTGCCACACCCACACTTGATGTAGTCATCCTGACTACCTACTGACATCATCTGCATGTTGGAGCCTTCATCAACATGAGTGAAGTGGGACTGGATGAGATCAAAGTTGTTGAATGCATAGGACATGATGAGAGAAGATAATGAAAGGAAACGACATAAGGCGGAGTTTAAATACTCCAACAATGGGATCATGTGACTTTTTTCCCATTGACACTAATTTAGAACATTCCAGTGGGGATTGTTCAGTTGCATCCTATTCGGATAAACCACACAGTTTACTTGGCTCTGAGTTCTGGCCAGATAAGCGGTGTCACACTGCCTCACTTCTGATGGAAGCATCTGATGGCAACATGACTTATTGCTGCATGCACTATTTATGCTGGATCATCACTCAGCCTCAAACAAACCAACACTGTGCAAATGAGTCATGTGTTACTAAGTTACATCACCTTGTAGAGTCATTGTGAGTCATTATGAGTCATGTGAACTGTGGATGATGTGATCCACAGTTGATGTGACTCAGAATGACTGTTTGGCACAGCCATATGTCTCGGTTATGGTATTACATGACTAATACCCCTGGGTCTATAACCCTGGGAATGTCTGCATTCTACCCATACCCAACACTGCATTAGGAAAGAGTTACCAATTATGGTACCACTACTTCCATTTATGGACTTATGACAGGGTAGACCTGCCTTTTATGGGGCATCCATTGCCATAAACAGGTGGGTAGAGTGGGTAGAGGCCCCCCTTACAATGTTATAAAGGGCAGGGGGCCTCTATCTCCCACTCGTTGTCTTTGCCTACTTTCCCACACCTTTCAGCATGTCTCAAGCGTCATCCTCCTCTGACCTCTATGCCTCGACATTGCAATGGCATACTACTCATTTCATCTCACCCATCACCACTCCCTCTGTCCACTCTGTGCCAGCCACTCCAATGCCTCCAGTGAGAGCAGAGGGCTGATGGCAACACCACACCATCCCATCACCAGTGCTGCCAATGCAGCCATCCCTCTTCAGCACTCTGCTCACACTGCCTCTGCCTGTGCAACAGCACACTTTGTCAGTTGGACCAATTAGGTCTCAATCCCTGAGGGTGAGACAGGTGGCACAGCCTGGCACTACCTTTAGATGGAGTGCTAAAAGGTATTTCTTGACATACACTCAGGTGCGTCATTCTTTTTATTCCCCACTTCCATGACTGAATCAAGAGTTCAATTTAGATTGGGGACAGACCATCTGACATGGTCAGGGAGTTCTTCAAGAACTGTAACCCCAAACCATTGACATGGAAGGCAGCAGTGGAATCCCACCAGGATGGTGGGAAACACTGGCACATCATTGTCCAGTTTGACCAGGTGATCCAATCTCGTAGAGTGGATCTATTCAACATTGATGGATTGCATCTGAATGTCATCACATAAGTATAAATATATATCTTGATGACTACATCAGCTGATTTATCCTTATTAGGCTTAAATCCCATCGCAATCTCCTTATGTGATGGGAATATATCCATAAGGAGGAGGGAGCTGAGGTATTTGGACCTTGGCAGGGACCATCTGGTAATGCCGAGGTCCAGGACCTCAAGGAGGGGAAGCATGATGAACGCTTTGTCTATATCTGCTCTGCAACCACTAGGGACAACTTCGAGGACTGTGCCATGGAACTCACCCCATATGAATGGATTATCCACCATGACAAATTTATGTCATTCACAGATAAACACTGGAAGGCTCCATGACCAGCCTATGAGTCAAAATGGATGGAGTTCCCACGTCTGCCAGCAGTGTTGGCAGAATGGGTGTCAGGTGAGATGAAGAATCCAGACCATCTGAAGACACTCTGTGTGTGGGGCCCATCTCAGACAGGAAAGACTGAATGGGCAAGGTCATTAGGTAAGCCCTCTATTCATTGGGCTTTGATTGATGATATAACAGCTACTTATTCCTTCTTAGGTCTGCATATTTATATGAATGGCCAGCTTAATGCTGCCAAATTATTTGAATTGGATGGTGATCAAGAACCTGAGTACTTGGTACTTGATGACATGGACATAGACTGCTTCTGGTCCATCAAGGAATTCTTCGGCGTGCAAAGAGAATTCGAAATCACAGACAAGTACATGCACAAATGAACAGTATTCTGGGGTAAGCTGTGCATTTGGCTCAACAACAAGAACCCCCTCAATACAACTGTCCATGACATTGACTGGTTGAAAGCAAACACAGTGGTCTACAACCTAGACCATCCTCTTTACAATGATGCAGCACCACCTAACCCCCCACCAGTAGTACCTACACTGGACTTAGGTGAACCCATCGTGTGGGTGCCAACACCACCGCCTGTACTCCATCATCCACAGCCAGTTGCTGCACCAATGGTCTATTTAGAAGATTTGTACCCTAATTGGCCTAGACTTAGAAATTAGTATATAAATTGTATTATATAACATGTATCATATAATTGACTTGAACAAACCAACTTTCTACTTAAGTATTAAGGTGTGCATGTCCGTCAATGATGAACCCTAACTAACCTTAACACACCCAAACCTTAACCAGGTTTTTGTGATGACTGCCAGCAGCACAGTGGCTACAGGCCGCATTTGCAGCCCATTGCTTTAGATGATCACACCCTAACTGTTAACCACCCCTAACCTAACCAGGTTTTTGTGAGGACCACCTGCTTGAGCAGGACATCTGGCTGTTGTATGACTGAGATACACTAAGAGCTAGGTGTTCCTGAGATGTGTGAGACCAGGGAAACAAGGTAGATGGCTCATCAGGACTTCTTGGTAGGACCATTCGGGCAGAGGTGTCTGGATGCATGCCCCTTGAGGACCTGGTGGGTCTCTGATTGATTTGGGTGGACTAAACTCTGACCTCCAAAAGGTGGCTCTGGCTGCCTGGTAGGAGGTTTCCAGGCCAAGGTGGCCTGGTGGGAAGGTAGTTACCTGGTTGATCCTGCCAGTAGTCATATGCTTGTCTCAAAGATTAAGCCATGCATGTCTAAGTATAAACAAGTTTGTACTGTGAAACTGTGAATGGCTCATTAAATCAGTTATAGTTTATTTGATGATGACTTGCTACATGGATAACTGTGGTAATTCTAGAGCTAATACATGCAACTAAAGCCCCAACTTCCAGGAGGGGTGTATTTATTAGATAAAAAACCAATGTGGTTTGCTGCTCTCTTGGTGATTCATAATAACTGCTCAAATCACACAGCCTTGTGCTGGTGATGCATCATTGAAATATCTGCCCTATCAACTTTTGATGGTAGGATAGAGGCCTACCATGGTTTCAATGGGTTATGGGGAATAAGGGTTCGATTCCGGAGAGGGAGCCTGAGAAATGGCTACCACATCCAAGGAAGGCAGCAGGCATGCAAATTACCCAATCCTGACTCGGGGAGGTAGTGACAGTAAATAACAATATAGGGCTCTTTTGTGTCTTATAATTGGAATGAGTACAATTTAAATCTCTTAACAAGGAATGATTGGAGGGCAAGTCTGGTGCCAGCAGCTGCAGTAATCCAGCTCCAATAGTGTATATTAAAGTTGTTGCAGTTAAAAAGCTCATAGTTGAACCTTGGGCCTGGGTGGGCGGTCCACTGAAAGGTGTTGTGCTGTCTGGCTGGGCCTTTCCTCTTGGTGAATTGGCGTGCCCTTCACTGGGTGCATCAGGGAACCAGGACATTTACCTTGAGAAAATTAGAGTGTTCAAAGCAGGCATCGCACCTGAATACATTAGCATGGAATAATGAAATAGGACATGCAGTTCTATTTCGTTGGTTTCTAGGATTGCTGTAATGATTAATAGGGACAGTCAGGGGCATTAGTATTTGGTTGCTAGAGGTGAAATTCTTTGATTGACCAAAGACTGACTACCATGAAAGCATTTGCCAAGGATGTTTTCATTAATCAAGAACAAAGGTTAGGGGATTGAAAACAATCAGATACCCTGCAGTGGGGAGAGATGGCACTTCCCCTTGCTTGACCTTGACATGGTCTGTGGGCTCCCTGAATGGGATCTAACAAGCAAGTGACAATGGTGGTATGTGCCCAACCACAAACCAAATGCCACAAACCTGCTCAGGGTGACACCTGAGCACCAACATGGGACTAGACCTGACATCCCACACAATGTCATGGCTACCCCAGACAGTCCAACTGTCCTGCTATTATAGCACTATGAATATAGATCAGTGAACCACCCCCAAGGACTCAGTGCATGCACCCACCCTTGGTGAATAAACTAAAATACCCCAAAAGTCCATGTATCCATGACTAAGTGATTGGGTGTAAAAACCCACCACTAATATGGAGTGCAAACTCCATTCAACCAAATCCTCTATCTAGTGTGGACTGGAAGAGAAAACTTCCCTGTAAACAGGTCTGCACACAAACACCTTACCATAACACACATGCACGACTACCTAAGGAAACTAACAGGAGAGACAACTTCCATGTGAACCAGTCTCTATGGCCACCTCACCTAAAACAAACAAGCACTGTGACCAAGGGTAGTTGGGGCCCAGAAGAGACAACTTCACCATAAATTGTTCACCATGTGACCAACTTACCAAACTAAACCACCTATCACAAGGTGTCCACCTGGGTAGAGAGAAATGTGACAACTCCATCTGAGCTGGAAGAGAAAACTTCCCCAAAAACTGGATACTGTGCAAACACCTTACCGTAATAAACGACTGTAAACCGTTTGCCATGTAACCACCTTACCAAACTAAACAACCACTAAGGTACCCCTATAGATGGAAATGGGAGAGAAAACTCCCTAACAAACTGGTAGCCATGAAGCTGGAATGTCAAAACAAACAACTTTGTCTACTCTTGCTGTAAAAAGATAGATGAACACAAATCAACCCACAATAAATTATAGTAGACCAACCAGCCTCTGAGGGGATGGACTAAACCAACCCCCCTGGCCAGCTCTACAACAACCTTACCCACATAAACACAACCTGTAACTTAAATATAATAAACCAAAACCCCAATAAACCAAATCAATCAACTGAGTGATTGAACTAAGACTGTAAAATCCTGAGAGTAATAATACACATCTCACTGATGGAGTGTAGAGTCTCCCCTGAGTGGTCTAATGATGCAACCAAAAGCTAAACAACCTCTTAACCGCTGCCTGAAACATAAAAGAGTAAACTCAACCCAAAGACCTTTGCTGAACAAATAAAATAAAGTAGTACTACATGTAAACATGTAACAAACACAAGTGAAATACAAAGAACAGTGAACTGTAGGGCCCCCCCTGCCCCCTGAGAACTAAGCCCCACTTATTCTCCTGTCCCAACCCCACTGCTATCTGCCTACCAAATATTGCACAACCAAACACTCTAAAAATGGGAAAAAGGAAAACCCTGGACACCATCATGACCACCAACTGTCACAACACTCAAGATCTCCAGACACTCATCCAAGAAACCCAAAACAGTGCATGCTATGGAGGAGCTGAAAGGCAAATCCAAGGCAACCACCCCCCCCCCTGGACTCTGAACCCAAGGACAACTTGGAGGAGGAATGAATGGAGGATGGGGAGAGTTGCACTGAGGAAGGAGAGGATGCAGAAAAGGAGAGCCCCCTGGCCAGTGTTGTTGAGCAGGACAAGGAAATGGAGGATGTCTCTAACCCCACACCCCCTGTTGAACTAACACCCAAGTTCTCCAAATCAGTGCCCACCCCTGTGCCAATACCTGGGAGCAGAACCCTAAGTGTAATGAAACCCCTGAGGATTGGGAAATCCTGGGGAACCCAAGACTCCATCCATGCGATGGAAACCCCAACATGGATGCCCTCCACATCAACCTCACAACCCCCACCAAAAGCCAAGACAGGATCACACCTGCCAGTCAAGGGCCTTGGGATAACTGGACTCATGAACCTGGAAGGACACCTGGCCACCTTCAAAAAGAAAAAAGAGGAGATAGCAAAAGCAAAACCCTGGGTATTCAAACCCAAGGTGGGAAAAACGTGGCTGGCAGGCAACCTCTATGACCATGCTGGCCCATACCAGCATGTGAAACAGCAGGAAGCCCTGGAAGAGCACCTCAGCAAGCCAGAAGTGATCTGGGCAGTGGGCTTTGGCATCCAGATCCAGCTGATTAAAACCAAGCTAGTGAAGGAAGCAGCAGAAGCCTTCCTAACAGAGAAACACCCTGGGCTGTCGGACTTGACAGTTCTACAACTGACAACTGTAGGCTGTTGGAGCCTACTCCAGATGCTGTCATGGGAGATGGCAGTCACTTTGGCAGCACAGCAGGTGATTCTGCACAAGCTGTACCAAACTGGCCTATTCTTCTATCCCAACCTGGGCTACCCACAGCCCATCCAAAACATCATCACAAACCTTGTGTGCCCAGAACTTGCCCTGCTAAGGTCCCTCTTCAAAGAAGACCATCCCAAGGCCCTGCTCTCGGTCTGCACAGCTGTAAGTCAGTTCTTTGGACTTGAAGTAAACAGGGACAAGGAAACTCCCCTCTTCACTTCAAAGGAAAAAGACAAGATAGGCCTTAAAGTCTATCTTGCTGACCCAGCACAGTATGAGAACCTTGGGAATATCACAGACGACGACATGAACACCATCGTGGAATGGGGGGAAGCATGGGGAACCTCAAAATCCATCATGCATGTTAGTGGAAGGTACACATCCACCAACCGAGATGACCCCCTCATCCTCATGAACATGATGCACCCCTGTGGGTACTGTCATATGAGCGATCACGACATGTACAACTGCCCCTGGCCAAACAGGAAATGGTTGGAGGCTGGCCGGGAGCTCCTCATTACCTTGAAGGGCAAAGAGCATGGGGTGTAG